GTTTGATCATCTGCCGCTGCGCTGATAATGTACCAAGTACTTATGATGAGTAGCGATACTGAATATTTGATAGCCAACAGATTTACCAAGCTGTCATTCAAACAGTATACAGGTACATATTTCACTTTATACTAGTCGGATGCTAATGGCTAACAGCTGAGGTAAAGGGCTAAGCTTATATGCATGTACGGCTGCTAAAGAGCTAGCTTTGGCCACACACACAGTTGTTTGTTTACATAAGGGTCTGTGACTGAAAGAGCCTGCTCTCAACTTCTGGGGTCAGACGTTGCTAAGAGACCGATGCACACTTACAATAACATACAAGCTGAGCAGAACTTGCTTGCTGTAAACATGCATGGGAAATTTTCACGTGGTCAGTTTTGACGTGTCACATACAAATTTCATTCATAAATCAAAACAGCACATTCACTTCACAGACAATGGCAAATGACTAGTTAACTAGGCTAGAATTACACCATTAATTCGCTGTTGCATCAAAATGACTACAATGATACGCGATTGTTTCAGGAAGGCCATAATTTGGAGAAATGAAAAACCTCGCTCAAATCAACATCGATTTCTTCGTCGCTCAGTTTTAATTCATGCCGCTAATCTGAGATTTCTTCGTCAGAGAAGACTCATATGTTTAAAGCTGAAAGTGGAGGCTCCTTCGCTCAAGATCAGATTAATTTATTATGGAACCATTTAAATGGGCTGCTAATCTGAGATTGAATTCGGAGTTTTTCTCTAATATCGGGCTCGTTTCTTATTGTACGATTTCAACATGCATTATAGCGTTGAAAAATGTACTGCTCATAAGAAGGCGCATTCAGGCTATAGTTTATCTGATTTGATCAGAGGCTGGTATGCATGTGTAAGATGTTAATGTTACATCTTGAGACACATTTTATTTATGATTGTGCTATGTGCCCTGTGGTTGGTTTGTTTTCTTTAGTTTTTCTTTTTAATGTCTACTGCTACCCAGAGCCATTGAGAAACAGAGTTGTGTCAACTCCATTCACTCCAATGGACCAGTTTTTATACAGCAATGGCGGGTCGTGGAGCCGCTCAATAGTTCCTGGAAGTTAGCGCTAATACTATCAGCGCCGTAGAGATGCAGCAAAAGAGACCGCTGTGATGAACTTTTAAAAGGTAAGACATTTATAGAAAAAAAATTGTATATTATCAGCACAGCTAATCAAATTACATTGTGCATTAAAATGTATTGTGCATTATTATTAGATTATTCCTTACTAAATTAGTAGATTTAGGGGAAATTATTCATTCGCTTCATGCAGTTGCATTCATCGTTGTGTAATTAAGGCTTTTAAAAGTGATTTTTGCTGGTGGGGAGTTAAATATTAGAATTATTGCAAAGGATGCTGATGGACCTAAGTGAGAATGAAAACGTTTAAAATGGGTGAGCAGTGTCCATTTCAGAATCATACTAGGCTAAACTACCAAAAATGTATTATATACCACTACTGTATTATTGAAGTAATCACAGTAAACCTGTACTTTATTACTGTATTTTATACTTAAACATCTTAGCTACTGTAGAAGCACTGTGTGGTGGAGGAGCAGTGATGCCACAGGACTGATATATGATGGAGCATCACTTAACCATTTCTCCTGTGTTTTTCTCCTTCTCTGTCTTTCAGAACAAGAACCACCTGAAGACTCCCTGTAATGAGACATCACACTCACAATGAGTCTCAGTTCACTGGGTTTTGCAAGTTTTTCAATGTTTCCTTGATTTCGCTTAAGCAACTTTAAATATAATATGCATGCACAATAAACTATTGTAAAATTTATTTACATCACTCGACAGAAAGGTTTTTGCAGGTTTTAATAAAATGTAAATTAATAACAGTCATAATAAGCATATTTACGCGCCTCAGGCTTGCACAGTATCGTTAACGCACTCATCAGAATCTTCGGTAATCCTCGGCAAACTTCGCCACGGCTCATTCGGTTCTTGTTGAGTCCTCGGTAATCCTCGGCAAACTTCGACAGTTGGTTGAACCGGCTCATTCGGTTCTTTTTGAGTTGGACGTGCTACTTCGGCTGTGCGTCCTGCGTCATCAACCCAGAACTAAAGTTCGATTCAGTTCGATTTGTGAACCGGCTCGACCGGTTACTTCCTGAGAACCGGCTCAAAAGAACGATTCGTTCAAGCATTCGTTCACCTAACATCACTACTAGTAACTGAGTTAGCCTTTGCTTCCATCATGGTATTTTGCATATGCTGGGTGTTATAGTATTTAATGGCAAGTCTGTGGATTTGGACGAGTGGTGTTAATTCATGAGATCTTGACATCTTTCTCACATGAGGACACAAAGTTCCTGTGGTTCTGCTGCTGTCTCAGGCTATCTCGTCCCTCTGAGCGCTGCACATCACAGCAGATGCATATGAGATGATGGATGAAAGACTTCCCTACCTGTCTCCAAGATGGATGGATTTTTCCCCTACCTTTTTTAGCGCCAACAAGGAGAAAGTTGTGAATGCTGTCCTTTAAAAATCCACAAGTTTTGAGGTTTCATTCATATCTGATGAGTTACACGCTGAAGTGTGTAGTTTTAGGACACATGAATGGTTTCAAAGAATAAAAACATCCTCTGATACAAAGCTGTTTCTGGCAGCTGTGTGTGTAGCAGCTCAAGCTAACCTTGCTCCCCCTGCAGCACGTCACATAGTCATGCAGTCCATTGTTTCTGGAGGCCGTTCAGCTTTACATACAAACAAACACACACACACACCATTCACTATTCATTTCATATGAAGTAAGTGTGAGGGAAGAATATTTGTGTGACATGAGATTTGTAGGCTAATTTATTTATGGTACTAGCATTATTAACAAGATGCAGCTAGCATTACCACAAATGCCAGTTTTCATTTGTCAGCTTGAGGGAAAATTGATTTAACCGCTATTAACTTGATTAATTGAAAAGGCCGCTAACACCCTCAGAGTTATTGTTTACATTGTGTTGCACGCTTTTACCTATTCTTAACTGATTTTAACAAACTAAATCATTCCAAAGAACTGCACTGCAGAAAAGCTGTCACTGATGTGGTGACCTTTCAAACTGTATTAATATGTACATTTAAAGTACTAATATGCACGTTCAAGGTACGAATAGGGGTAAATAAGGTAAAAAAAAGATGTACAAATTAGCTATTGTACTTTATAGGAACTGCCCAAGTAACAGTTTTGTATCTTTTTCTTCTTAGAGCGTACAGTACGACTCAGATTTCATTTCAACACTTTGAGTATATTGTGTAGCAGCAGAAATGTCTTAATCTAGGAAAGGATGAATTTATCTTATTGGATATGTAAAAAATTATATATATATATATATATATATATATGGGTGTGTGCGCATCTTAATAAACACATAAATACTAAAACGGAAAACATTACATTAATATGACATATAATTTTTACTTACAAGAAAATCAAAACTTACCAAATAGTAAGACCAACAATATATATATATAAAGTTCATTTTTGGTAGATTTGGTAGATGAAAGGCATCTTAAAAATAGCACAGAAAAAGGCTTTGCATTGATTTGATCATAATGCATCAGAAGACTTTACAGGAAACATACAACAAAGCGGACTAGAACTTCATATTATTAGTTGAAACTATTATTCTGTAATATGTCAAAGGTATAAAGGTAGAACTTGCAGTAAACATTGTCAAATGTACAGTACATTAGTTAAGATTTACATAAAATTTGTCATGACTACAAGGGAAAAAAAATCTGTTTTGGTCTTGAGTTTAAAATGAAAGTCAAAAATATTTTTATATTTTAAAACAGCAGGCAGCTTTAAGGACGTTTTTGTTGAGGATATTATAAGGAAGTATTGAATTCAGTTCAAGAGGAACTTTTGTGACTTCTTACAATCAGACAGAGGCGGACAAAGTACACAACACTATTACTTGAGTGAAAGTACAGATACTGCTGGTCAAATATTACTCCATTACAAGTGAAAGTTGTAAAGATAGATTTTTACTTAAGTAAAAGTACAGAAGTACCAAAAGTACATTTCCTTTTTTATGTCAATGCACTGTTTTATTATTGTTGTATGTAATACTTGCAATACTTAATAGTATACTTAATTTAACTGTATATAAAAATACACCTTGCTACGTGTACTGCGTAAGGGAGGCTAGCCTCTCTTCTGATATCAACCAATCATCATAGAGACGTAAATTACGTGATATTAGTTTGAACGTCTGCCGCTGCGCTGATAATGTACCAAGTACTTATGATGAGTAGCGATACTGAATATTTGATAGCCAACAGATTTACCAAGCTGTCATTCAAACGGTATATATACAAATGTAAAAAAAAGGGAAAACACGCCTAACTGGATATAAGCTAACGTTACAGCAGTCGCGGCTTAATGAAATAGAGGTAGAATAAATTTATAATAAAAATAACACAAATAAAACCAAAGTATGGAGAGACCGACCTAATTGAGACTAAACAGAATGTGAGAGCACAAACAGAAAGTGTAGTTTAAATATTTCACTTTATACTAGTCGGATGCTAATGGCTAACAGCTGAGGTAAAGGGCTAAGCTTATATGCATGTACGGCTGCTAAAGAGCTAGCTTTGGCCACACACACAGTTGTTTGTTTACATAAGGGTCTGTGACTGAAAGAGCCTGCTCTCAACTTCTGGGGTCAGACGTTGCTAAGAGACCGATGCACACTTACAATAACATACAAGCTGAGCAGAACTTGCTTGCTGTAAACATCTTCTCCTGTGTTTTTCTCCTTCTCTGTCTTTCAGAACAAGAACCACCTGAAGACTCCCTGTAATGAGACTCCCTGAATCACACTCACAATGAGTCTCAGTTCACTGGGTTTTGCAAGTTTTTCAATGTTCTTTGCAAAAAAGTGCCAATTCCCAAGTATGATTACATCACTTTTTGTTGGTGTAATCTATAGCTATATTTAGATTGCTCCTGCTGACTATATCCAGCCTCTTACGAAGACTTCAGTTGACCAGCACCTGTGAAGAGATGATGCCAACCCTTGAGAGAACTTCAGATGACGCCAACTCTGAATAAACATACAAGCTGCCATATTTTCCTTGCATTGTATCAACTCCGCCTCCTGTTCTTTAGTCAGTTTAGGTGCATTGCCTTGATCAAAGCCGCAGAACCAGTTGTAGGCCTTCTTCCAACAGCTTGGATCCTCATGCACCTCTGCAAGGTCGAGAGGCAATCGGAAACAGTTGTTAATTGTTTTTACAAGTATGTAAGTATGTTTTTAAAGTGCCCCTATTATGTCATTTTACTGACAACTGCTTCTCTAATCTCGGGGAGTTCAACGCGGGATTCACAAAACACTTGACCAGCACCTGTGAAGAGATGATGCCAACCCTTGAGAGAACTTCAGATGACGCCAACTCTGAATAAACATACAAGCTGCCATATTTTCCTTGCATTGTATAATCAACATGATCACATCATGTAATCATTGCTTTAATGTGTTCATTGTTTCTGCTGAATACATTATGTGTGCAATAATTTACACAAGTAAGGCATGTGCCTGAATCAACATCATTTGGTTTTCCTAGAACTACAATCTAATCAACTAATTACGGCCCTAACCTAGTCTCAGCGTCACACGGCACACTCACAGTCCTTTCACTGAGCCCTGTGATGCTCATTGCACACAAAAATGGAGAGTGCTATCTGATGGTACATATTTGGTGGATCGTGCAGATGTACCTTCTGTTTGCATAGAGTCTGAATCCTGATCTTCAGTCCAGTCATCTTCAACTAACTGCATGATTTGTACAGCCTAATTTCTGCCATATGAACATTACTTTGACACAGTTACACCTGATAACAGAACTCTTATCTGTAATGTAGAAACATTCATTTTCTATAAAGCTGCTTTGATACAATGTGTATAATAAAAAGTGCTATACAAATAAATGTGAATTGAATAAAACTTGTTTTTATTATGTTTTATTTAGTGCTGTCACACGATTAATCGCAATTAATCGCATCCAAAATAAAAGATTTTGTTTGCATACTATGTGTGTGTTCTGTGTATATTTATTATGTATATATAAATACACACACATGCATGTATATATTTCAGAAAAATATGTTGTTTATACAGTATATTAAAATTATTTATAATATAAATTATATAAATATAGACATGCAAATTCATGTAAATATTTTCAAAATATATACTGTATGTGTGTGCATTTATATATACATAATAAATATACACAGAACACACACATATATTATGCAAACAAAATCTTTTATTTTTTAATTAAGTTGTTTTTATGAATTCAATTAATTAGATATGTTTCTGAAAACAACTTAATTAAAAAATAAAAGATTTTGTTTGCATAATACAACCACTTGTGCGTCCGCACTGAATGCGCATCTCGCATATAAAAAGCATTTTAGGGGGCCCTTGGCTTTTGGGGGCCCAAGGCGGATATGTTGTTTATACAGTATATTAAAATTATTTATAATATAAATTATATAAATATAGACATGCAAATTCATGTAAATATTTTCAAAATATATACTGTATGTGTGTGCATTTATATATACATAATAAATATACACAGAACACACACATATATTATGCAAACAAACTCTTTTATTTTTTTATTAAGTTGTTTTTATGAATTCAATTAATTAGATATGTTTTTGAAAACAACTTAATTAAAAAATAAAAGATTTTGTTTGCATAATACAACCACGTGTGCGTCCGCACTGAATGCGCATCTCGCATATAAAAAGCATTTTAGGGGGCCCTTGGCTTTTGGGGGCCCAAGGCGGTCGCCTACCTTTGCCTAATGGTTAAGTCCGCCCCTGACCATTTGCGCTACTGTGGACTTAGTTGAAGACTTGTTAATTTGTTCAGAATTAAATAATTTTTTAAGGAAACTTGTGGGGAGGTGGGTGCCTTTTTTGTGTTTGAAACTGCTTTTCTCCTGGTTATTTGTGTAGTCAAGGAGATAGGGAAGTTCATGTTGTTATTCATTTTCTTTTTGTTTATATATAGGTAAGTTTTATGGTTTAAACAGAGTTAGTAACAAGTGATGCAAAGTCCGATTCATTTCCGCGAACCGGTTCTTTTCGGACAGATCGGCTCATTGAACCGGTTCAAAAAGCCGATTCATCGGTTCCTGACGTCATCAAGCAATAACGTCTCTACGCATTTCTTTTCTAACAACTCGGTGCAATGTTGTATCAATGAAAAATTCAAATAAGTCATTTGTGTCAACGCAAATTGAAACATTCAAAAATAAAGTTATTTGTGTGAAAGCATATTGCTGATTATTACCATATAATTCACTTAAGTTAATGGTGTTTGTGGTCACAGTGTATAAAGTTTTCAATTTTAATATTATTCAAAATGTAATTTTTTCCTGTGATTCAAAGCTAAATTTTCACTCATTTTACTCCAGTCTTCAGTGTCACATGATCATTCAGAAGTTATTCTAATATGCTGATTTACCGATTACGAAACATTTACTATTATCAATGTTGAAAACCTTTTTTTTTTTTTTTTGCTTAATATTTTTCTGGAAAGAAATTAACGTTTATTCAGCAAGGACACATTCATTTGATTAAAAGGTAAAGACATTTATAATTTTACAAAAACTTCCATTTAAAATAAATTTTGTTCATTGTTCACTTTCTATTCAACAAAGAATATCAAAATGGTTGTGAAAAAATCTTGGCTTCCACAATCTTGGTTTTCAATATTGAAAATAAGAATCATTATTAATAACTGAACATCAGTAATAACTGAGAAATATAGCACCAAGCAGCAATTAATGGGCTAAGCACAAAAGAGCAGAATGAGGAGATAAGCAGGATCAGACCATTAGTTATTAGTTATTACAGTTAGTAATTAAAGACAATTTTAAGGCTGAAAAATCATAAATTCAATCATTAGTAATATGATTTCATGGTTTATACATTTTTACCAAATTGATGTGGTGTGGTCAGTGTGAAGTGGCAATGACACACGTAAAGTTTGGTGTCAGTGGGTCAAAGCTTTGCTGAGATACAGATGAAGTTTGGCACCTTTCCATCAAATTTGTTAATGTGGTAAACAAAAAAACGTTTTGCCTATCAACACGAAATCCATAATTTTTTTGCTGGCATGGTCTGAAGATGATTTGGATCGAATTTGGTGAAAATTGGACCGTCAATCTAGCAGAAGTTAGAAAAAAGTATGTTTTCAACGTAAATCAAAATGGCGGACAGGTAGTTCGGCTGATTATAGCATAATTGGTAGCAATGTTCTCTGAATAATCCAAGCAATCTAACAAGACCAGCCACATGACAAGAGGCAAAACTGTTTAGACGCTATTAGCATTTTTAGAAATGTCATTATTAATGGTTAATGGCTATATATTAATAGTTTATCACTTTTGACCAGTAGGTGTCGCTGTTAGCAAATTTATCTGGTGAGGTCAGTGTTAGGTGACAATGGCACACACAAAGTTTGGTGTCAATGTGTCAAAGCTTTGTAGAGATACAGCCTCATATGCAGTTTGGCATCATGCCATCAAATTCGTTGATGTAATAAACAAAAAATGTTTCGTCTATTGACACGAAATCCATAACTTTTTGCCAGCATGGTCTAAACATGATCTGAGTCGAATTTGGTGAAAATCGTACAAACAGTCTAGGAGGAGTTTGAAAAAGTAGGTTTTCAAAGAAAATCAAAATGGCGGACAAGAAGTTCAGTTGATTATGGCATAATTGGTATCGATGTTCTCGGCAAGATCTAAGGAATCTATCAAGACCAGTCTCATGATAATAGGCAAAACTAATCTAAAGTTATTAGCATTTTTTAAATTTTCATTATAATTATTGACCACAAGGTGGAGCTGCCACAAAACTTTTTGAGTACCTTCAGGGCTGTCCTCTATCTGTGTTTCAAATTTCATAAATTTCCCGCAAGCGGTTCTATGGGCTATCATAGACACCCAAAGCAAAAGAAGAAGAAGAAGAAGAAGAACGCCAACAGATATAATATGCCTATGCACCTTCGGTCCCTTATAAGTGAGCATCAAATCAGCAATATTGAATGATTTCTGAAGGATCATGTGACACTGAAGATTGGAGTAATGACTGCTGAAAATTCAGCTTTGCTTCACAGGAATAAATTACATTTTAAAATATATATTCAGATAGAAAAGAGTTACTGTAAACTGTATTACTGTTTTTACTGTATTTTTGATCAAATACAGTCTTGAGCATAAGAGACTCCTTTCAAAAACATAAAAAAATCATAAGTATTCTGAACTTTATAGTTTAGTTGTAAGAAGAGCTTACATGTTTGTCATCAATGGGTTTGGTCATGAGGGAGATGCCCAGTATCAATATACAGGACAGGCCAAAGATGATGAGGGCAAAATAGAGGTAGTGCACACCACAGATGATCGTGGGACAGTGACTGGGACTCACGCAGCTGCCTGTGCCGTAGGCAAACTCAGTTATCATACGTGCCAGACCCACCAACAGACCAATACACAACCCGTAGAAAGCACCCTGTGAGGACACATCAACAACATGTGTCAACAGACAGAAAACTAGATGAGTAAAGTCTGATGACAAACTTGATGTTGACTTGACAAAGCAGGTCTGGACGTTTAAAATAACTGTGAAAAGCTTGAAGTTTTAAAATTTTGTGCAGCCTCTGGTTGTAAAAACCTCTGAGACTTAAATTCCCAAAGAAATGGGATAACATTTCACAGGTGAGAATGTGTTGGTTTGTGTTTTTATAACTCAATATTACAGGTTTTTAAACTATGGTAGCTTTTTGATGTGTTAGCTAATGCTTTCGTCTTCTTATATTGTAGTTTAGCAAAATCATTTGCTGAAGTCTATTGCAGATGTAGATATTCATACATGCATGTAACTTTGGTTGCAGACAGACAAACTTGCTCTCGAACTGGCGGACGGCTTACATGGGTCATAGTATCAGCCATTAATGAGGTATCTATGAATATATTATCTATGATTTTAAAGAGTTGCAAGCATGTTTTAGCACATTGTTAACTTATTTCAGCATGTTGATAGCATGTCTCTAGCATGTTTTAGCATGTTGCTAGCATATTTTAACACACTGTTAGCATGTTTTAGCACATTGTCAAGCCAACATAATAATCTGCAGCCAAATTTAGATGTTTTTTTGTAAAAAAAAACAAAAAACATAAAAAAAGTATATTTAATAAAATTTTAAAACTTCAAACTAGCAAAATGGAAACAAAATTACTACAATTAAATGTAATTAACTCACTGGTTCATTGACTCGCTTGCAAAAAATGGCGAGGATGAAGACAGCGGCGATAGGTGGAGCCAGATAACTGGTGATGGACTGAGTGTATTCGAAGAGCTGCCCGCTCTGAGCCGACTGAACGATGGGGATCCACGCGATACTCACGCCGATCAGAAACAGCATGAACACCCTAAACACATGAACACAAGCCTCTCAGAGCCTATTCATCTCAGTTTCTGCTCACAAAATCAGAAAATCAATATCCAACACAAACAAACAGACACGCGAACACACCTCCCCGCGATCATGAGCTCCTTTTCCTTGGATTTGGGGCGGATCTTGGTGTAAATGTCCATTGTGAAGAGTGTGCTAGCGCTGTTAAAGATGGAAGTGAGTGAACTCATCAGAGAGGCCAGCATGACGGACAACATCAACCCTCTGAGACCTTCGTAAACACACACAGCAGTTTAGAGCCATATCACCAAACAGATCTATCAAAGCAGTCTATTAGAGATGTAAGAGACAGAAATAGAAATATCAGATTATTCTTTACCGTTTGGCATCAGATCCACCACTAGTTTTGGATAAGCAATATTACTGCAGCCCACACTGGCTCCACAGTAGTAGTCACACTCTGCTGGATCCACGCATGCAATCTCATCTGACACACAAAAAAAAAAAAATTAGTTCACTAATAGTCTTTCACTGTTCACTGACCTTCTGATGCATGATGCATTCAAAAAATGTCACAAAAATTGCTGCACATTACTTTTGGATTGTCAGAATTTCTTACCACAAAGTCCACATACCATTTTGGCTAAATTGTTTAATTTCGCTAAATTATTCAGCTCTGTAATTGTTATGGTATTATGAACGTCAGATTTACCCTCCCTGAAATGTCATATGAAACCAGTGTTATTTTGGTATTATTTGTATACTATTTGTTAGTATTTTAAATAAAAAAATATTTATATACAGTATTTGCAGTTTTCATTTTAAGTTTTTTTTTTGTTATTTATTTTTTTTGTTATGAGTTTGTCTTTTTTTTTTTTTGATTTTTTAAAATTTCTAATATGCAGAATTATTATTTTATGTCTGCTGTTCAACACAATTAAAAAATATATAGAATTATTTATTAGAAGAATAAAAACATACCATACATTATTATTATTATTATTATTATTACTATTATTAAGGCACAATATTAATAAAATATTAAAGAACCAACTGAAACATGGGAATCAATGTTACTTTAACATTATTTATATACTATTATAGTATTTACTAGTATTTTGAATTAGCACTTAGTTTTATATTTGAATTTTAATTTAAGTTTTAGTCTTGTTATGTTCTTTGTAATTTTTAAAATTATTTTTATACTTCTATTTTTTTGTAATTTTAGTATTTAAAATTAAACATTTCTATTTTCATTTCTTTACGTTTAAGTTTTTGTTTAATTTTATATTTCAGCTTTATTTCAATAAGCGAAAACAGTTTTTTAGTTTTAGTTAATAGTAACAACACTGCTTCAAACTGGTTGCTTAAAGTGTAAATCAGACTCTCTGTCTGTCTAAGCAGGCTGTTGCTTGTTAAAATAAGTTACTAGCATATTCTGTGAGAAATAAGTGGACCAGACTTTATGCTGATGAGCAAAACTCTAGTTCTGTGAGACTGATCAAACCTTAGTTCACCATATATCACTCAGACAAGATTCAGTCAACATAAATAGTCAGTTTATCACCCTTCTCACCCAGGATGGTGCCAGTCTTTCTTACCTGTGTACAGCACTCGGCTGATCATGCCAGGGAAAACCATGAGGAACATTGGCAGAAGTTTGAGGTAACCACACAGGATGCAGCCCGCTTTCACATGAGACAGGTTCTTGGCAGACAGACAGCGCTGCACAATCACCTAAAACAACATGGAGGGTTTATATGACGTTTACACAGTTTAAGTGTAGTGAGAGTTGTCCTGTGTGCTTCGACTGTGATCTTTGAGAGCAAAATTCTTATAAAAGAGCAATTTCTCTAAAAGAGAATTAATGGTCGGATTGTGTATTGCACACCATGCCTTTCCGTCCATGCCCTTCTGGTTGCAGTTGCAGTACATCTCACCCTCAGACAGGCAACAATTGCTTTGCACAGTGTTTGGGCCACGCCCATGCTGAAGCAGCTTTTTTGGATGGTTTACGTTCTACTTGTGAGGACATGGCTATCGGCAGGTTGCTCTCATGCTC